GGAAGTGTGAGTCTACAGTAGAGTGCTGTGGAAGAGAAGGAAAGGGAAGTGTTGTGAGCTCAGGAAATGATGCCTCAGTGGTCCTGCCGCTGAGCAAGTGATGGAGCTTTGGAGAAGGGTGTGGACCAGCACTGGGGGAGACTTCATTCAACTGCACATAGGTCAGGGTGGGTTTATTCTTCATTTGGTTTTCATTTTCTTAAGGAGGCTGTTTGTTGGGATTTAATATCATCTGTGGCTATTTCTCAGCTTCTGAGCACTTTTGCTTTTTAATATCCCAGCTACCGGAGACATAGGGAGAACGGGGCTGAGGGTGGGGGAAGATTCTGAAACGTGCCTCAATCCAGTCTCTCATACAGCCTTCCTCAGACAGGCCAAGGTGTTGGCAGAACATTATGTAAAAAATGGAACTGACTTTGCTTTTTCTAACTGTTCCAAAGGCTACAAATACCCCAAAGCTGCAAATATGTAGGCCCGCACACTCAAGCCTGTGTTTCTCCCATCCTTCTCCAAGAGATCAGAAGCAAGCTGGGGCCCCTTAGGAATTCTGCCAGCTGGGGAAGGCGTCTGGTTTTTCAAGCACAGTTGAATGATTCAGAGTGAAGTAGACTGGGCGAGGCCCCAGGCCTGTATTAGTTCGAGGCAGCAACGAAAGAGGGAAGCTGTTTTTTCCTTAGAATGCAGATGAGTGGGTGAGGTGGCTGGCTTTTCCTGCATTGCTGCCAGCTGGAAGCTGTGCCCACAGATGTGGACTGTTTATCTGTGGGTTTGATGTGTTTGTTTTCTTTTTTCCTTAAGACACAGTGGGGGAGGTGGTGAGCTGGATGGGGAGGAAAAAAAAAATTCAGTTGCTTAGTAAGACAGGAAAACCAGCAGGGGGTGAACTGACTTCCCTTAATTGCCAAGAATGTTTAAGTCATTTCTCAAGATTACCCCTAACTCCTAAATTCTGTTCCATGCCTCTTTATCAAGGCCTTATATAGTGCCTATCAGATATCATGGGTTTCAGTGCTCGAAAACGTCATTGCCCTTGAGGTGTTTATATAATTTAACAAGAGGGGAGCGGACAGTTATGGAGACAACTATATATAAGCATTTCAGTAGATGCCATGAGCAGAGAATGCTTGGAAACCCAGAGGGGAGGGTAAGATCACGTGGGGTGGGGGTTACTGGCTAGGAAAGGATTCATAGTGTAGAAGAGCTGACAAATGGGATGTTATTTTGAAGACAGAGATAAGGTTGTGTGTTCCTGGGTAGAAGAGAAAACAAAGTAGTAGGAGATTTTCCTTTGAGTGTGCAGCACTCTGCAGAACTGCTGCTCTCCGGGGTAGTCACCGCACCTGCCGGGCCGGTCATTTCAGCCAGCAGCGTGAGGAATTGTTCAGGCCCCCCTTTCTCCTTGTTAGCTTTTCCTCCCTTTGACTAGATAGATCAATGCCTTTAGGACAGAGGGCTGAGAGGGGTGGAATATTTCTTGTAGTAGGTTTTATGCTTATTTTGGTATAACTGAGTAAGGGTGGGAACCAGGATCAATTTTTTTTTTTTAACTTCATAAATATGTATATTTACTTATTTTAAACAGCTTTATTGTGATATAATTCACATACCACACAGTCTGCCTATTGAAAGTGTACAATTTAATGGTTTTTAGCATATTCACAGAGTTGTTTAACCACAGCCGCAATCTAATTTTAGAACATTTTCATCACCCTGGAAAGCAACCCTGTGCCCATTTGCGGTCACTTCCCATGCCTCCTACTCTTCTCAGCCCCGGGCAGCACGACTCTGTTTTCTGCCTTTGTGATAGATCTGCCTATTCTGGACATTTCCTATAAATAGAATAATATCTGGTCCTTTGTGACTGGGTCTTTCACTTAGCATAATGGTTTCAAGCTTCATCCATGCTGTGGTAGGTATCAGTCCTTCCTGTTTATGGCTGAATAATATTCCATTGAATGGATGCACCACCTTTGTGTATCTCTTTGCCAGTTGTGGACATTTGAGTTGTTTCTACTTTCTGACTGCTATGAAATGCTATTATGAGCATTTGTGTACAAGTTTTTGTGTGGGTGTATGTTTTCATTTCTCTTGCACGTGTACCTAAGGGTAGAATTACTGTCATATGGTAACTCTTGTTTAACATTTTGAGGAAGTCAGATTGTTTTCCACAGCAACTGTACCATTCTACCTTCCCACCAGCAGCGTATGAAGGCTCTAATTTTTCTGCATCCCCACGCGTACTTTTGTTACTGTCTGCCTTTCTTCATGGTTTTGGTTTTCATTTCCCTTGTGACTGATGATATGTCTAACATCTTTTCATGTGCTTATTGGCTGTTTGTATGTCTTCTTTGAGGAAATGTCTCTTCAGATTTCTTGCCCATTTTTTAATTAGATTATTTGTCTTATTATTCTTTGTTTTTTTGGCAGCTGGCCAATAACAGGGATCAAACCCTGGACCCTGGTATTATCAACACCACATCCTAACTGTACTAGTCTGTTTCTGTTGCTTATAACAAAATACCTGCAACTGGGATTTTTATGAAGAAAAACAAAATTTATTGCTTACAGTTTCTGAGGCTGGGCAGAAACTGTACAGTCCTTCTGGTGGTGGCAGCAGTGACCCAGGGGTCTCACATTGCAAGATGGTGGAAGCAGAGAGAGAGAAAGCAAGACAGACTCTCCTCTTCTCTTAAAGCTCTCAGAACCATGCCCCCGACCATTTTTAATCCAATCACTACTGCATAGTCCTACAATCCAATCACCTCCTCAAGCTCCACCTTTCGATTACCATGATAGGATTTCCCATAACAGTGGGGGCCAAGTTTCTAATACATTATACACAACTCAAGCTTCAGGGAGTTTTGGGGGGACATAATTCAATCCACTACACTAACCAACTGAGCTAACTGGCCAGCCTTGTTTTTTTATTCTTAAGTTGTCAAAGTTTTTTATGTATTCTGGATACCAGACCCTTATCAGATATATGACTGGCAAATATTTTCTCCCATCTTATCTTTTCACTTTCTTGATAGTATCCTTTGATGCGCAAAAGATTTTAATTTTGATGAAGTCCAGTTTATCTATTTTTTTTCTTATTGCTGTGCTTTTGGTGTTATATTTAAGAAACTGTTAAGAAACTATTGTCTAGCCCAATGTAATAGAGATTTATTCCTGTTTTCTTCTGTGAGTTTTATAGTTTTAGCTTTTACAGTTAGATCTGGGTTAACTCAATTTACTTTGAATTAATTTTTGTGTATGATGTAAGAAAGGGGTCCAACTTCATTCTTTCGCATGTGGATATCTAGTTGTTCTAGCACCATTTGTTGAAAAGATTATTCTTTCCCCATCACGTTATCAATTGACTATAAATGTGTGGGTTTATTTCTTGACTGTCAATTCTACTTCATTAATCTGGATGTCTAGGATCAGTATTTTTAAAATTCAGGTGATTCCATGTGTGGTGTAGGTTGAGAACCATCTGGCTGGGGTAGTGAGTTTGGCTGGTTTGATTGGGAAGTAGCACAACAAAAGCTTTCTGCAATACTTCATTACAGATGTGTAGACCACCGTTCTTCACTAAACCAGTGTTTTCCTAAAGTTGTCATATAAGAATTGCCAGGATGCTTGTTAACAACAGACTTCTGGCACCTAGGCACTGGGGTGCACAGGGCCTCATAGGAGGTGGGGAGGGGATGTCTTTGTGTATGGCCTCTGATTATGGAGTCTTCCATATGGACACTTCCTCCCTACCAGTTGCAAGTTGATGCAAATCTGTGTGTTTTAATGAACTTTCCAAGTGAGTCTTATGGTCAGGCCACTGAGGCAATGCTGGGTCTGCTGAGGCAGACCATTAGAATACATGCCTGTATTCCTGCACGGTGGTCTGTCTGCAGAATTGCTGTTCCTAAGGTACTCTTGGGGTGATGCCATTGCTCTGTGTGAAGGGAGATTATAAGAAACAGCACTAGATGGCTGGCCGATTGGCTCAGCTGGTTAGAGAACAGTTTTGCAACACCAAGGTCAAAAGGTTCAGATCCCTGTACTGGCTAGCCACCAAAAAAAAAAAAAAAACCAGCCCCATGAAACTTCCTGCCATGTTTACCGTGTACTCTTCTCTGGCCACTTTACTTAACATTGCCTCTTGTACAATTACTGTTATATCCACAGTTCTCCCCAATCTGTTTGCTTTATTTAAATTTTCATAGTAGTTTTCAAGAATATTTAATTTAATTATCTTGTCTACACCACTAGCTTGAAATCTTCATGAGGGAATCATTTTTATTTTTGTCTTTTCATTTGGCTGCAACATCCCCAGGACCAAGAACAGTGCCTGGCATATAGTAGGCATTCAGTAAATATTTGTTGAGTAAATAGGGTATTGTTGAGGAATGAGAGACTCATCTGTTTCAGCAGCAGTAGTAGTCATTGTGCTTGTTTTCTACTTCATGGTGCTATGAGTCATGGAAGTACATGTTTCTGTCTTTGCCTGGGCCACTCAAAATTTATGCCATTTTTATGTTCACTCTCTGAAGTGTGTAGGACTAAATCACTTATGTGTCATGTAATGACATCTAACCTTTTCTTTTTCCAACTTAATTTATCTTGCTGTGTTGTGTATGTCTCTGCAAGCTGTCTAAATCTACTCTTTGGAAACTGGCAGGCTGCAAATAAGTACTATTTGATCAGGTTTGATGAGAAGTTCTTAATTTCAGTCCTTCTCTTGGTCTGGGAAATCAAAAGTTTGGGTTCTAAGCTCCTGTCATTTTCCCCCACCTCAAAACTGGGGGAGTAGAATTTAAAAAAAAAAAATTCCATTTTCTTTTTTTTTTTTTTTTAGGATAGAATTTTTGCGGCATTTGAAGAGCTTTTTCCAGATTATGTTTAAAATTGAAACCAAGCCATGTGGTGAAGAACTCAAGGGCGGGGATAAAGTGCTGATGACCTGTGTTGGCATTGGCTTCTCCAACCTTAGCAAGACCCTCAAGTGATATTTTGTCACAAGATGAGGCCCCAGTGCCTACAGACAAAGCAGAAGCTGCCAAGGGCACCAAAAGGACCAAGTCCACATCTGTTCATCAGGGACAGGATAGCAACTTATATTAAAGACTTTCTTAATTTTCCTTAAAAAAAGAAACAATAAAACTCTCAAATAAATGACACCTGTATTTTATGTGGTTTCCAGCCATTTCTCTAGTGGCATTGACATTCCCCAGGAGGCCCATTCACACAGGAACTCCTTTGGCTTACCTGGAGGAAGAGTGTGCCCTCAGGACACCGTGATGCTGCTAGCGCAGTATCACAGCTGATTTCAGCTGTGGTTTTTCAGCCCACATCCCTGGGCTTCTGTTGTATGACCGTTTTCCAGACCTGTGGAAGAAACAGTCTGTTACTGTTACTTCTGCAAAGACTTACCTTTTTGAGACTCAGTTTCCGTTATAGGAATTAAATGAGATAATATGTGGGGAAGTTCTTTATGAGTCATGTGGTACTATGCAAACGTCAGAAATTGGTGTATTAGACTACTTTATCACTTGTCTTCTGAATGGATTGCTCTCATGGACTGTTCCTCATCTGGTTCATTGTATATATAT